CCCACCGCCCCGCGCCCCAGCAGCGCTGGGACTTGCTCTCCCTGGCCGTCCGTGGGTGCGCGGGCGGGTGACAGCCGCCGTCACAAACTGTTTACCCAAGTTCTTGACTAAAATTGCGATTTACAGTGCCGGGGCTAATTTATGGATACCGGTCCTCCGCATCCGCAGCGTGATAAAACACTGGAGCAATAATACACTTCAGGATGGACTCCAAGACACTTAAACTGTTTAATGTGCTGCCTTTCTACGCATAAATCTATTTACACGCTGTCCCCAGACCTGGGGGGGGCAGACACATGCACACAAGCCGGGATGAATAATGCATGGAGCAGCCCTCCGGCCCCGGCTCACCTCCTGCTCGCATCCCGCTCGCCGCTCGGAGCCCCGTGCAATTTCTCGCTGAGTTATTTTGTGTTTGTGCCGGAGCTTCGTTTCCGAGGGAGCTCTCAGTTACCTGCTGAGATCGGGGAGTATGATTACAGTGTCAGGGCTATAAACCTGTTACATAAATCAAAGCTTACGTAGTGGGATGTGCTGTCTGTTACTGTAAATAATTTAATGTGAAGGAGGGCTGAGGAGCTGCTTCTCCCCACGCCGCCCCTTGGTGGTCGCTCTTGTGTGTAAGGTGGAGGGAACTTGTCCTGGACCTGGTGGACACACGACTGTGAAGGTGCCAGGGCCACCCGTGAAGGATGGTGGGAGAGCACGGGTGGGAGCTGTCACCCTCATCCCCTTCTGCGGTGACACAGGGTGACTACCCGTGCTCAGCCCGGAGAGAAGGACCTTATCACCCAAGGCGGCGTACAGATAACCCCCCTTCCCTGCCCGCCTTGTGGCCTCAGGGACTGTGTATGTGTTGAGGGACACGCGGGGAACGGAAGGGCCACCTCTGCTGCCAGCGATGCTCAATGGGAGATGCTCAACCTCAACTGCTATGTGAACCTTTCTTAGAAGCCCACCATCCACAGCTGCTTGAGGACCCACCAGGAGGAAGTCGGCTCAGTGGGGCTGAGCCTCGGGGACTCTGGTCACCCACAGCCACCGCCGGGACCCCTGGGTGGCCGACATGGTGTCCCACCAGCCCCACTCCTTGGAGAAGGTGTGTCCCCTTGATCCCACGCTTGAGGCCGTGCCAAGCGGGGAGCTCCTGGATGCAGAAGTGGAGCCGGCGGTGCCTTGGCTCGGAGCCCAGGCAGACCTCAGCCTCTTGCTTCCCGATGCCTTGCTGCGAATCCGGGAAGTTTCTCTGCACAAGCATGCACTTCATTTAAAAGCTAATCTGCAGTCACTCCATCATCAGGACAGGCCTGATGTGCTGGGATTTTTTGTTGTCGTAGTTTCAACCCCACCAATTGCAAAGCAAGTGGTCCCCAGAAGAAGATGCTGGGGGGATTTATTAGCTAAGGTAATGCAAGCAGCAGCCCATCATGTTTATTGTGATAAATGACACAATATCCAGAGCGCTCCTTTGCTGGAGGATTTGCCCAGGAGCCCCATCTTTATTCAGACGCTGCCCCACCAGAGATGAGGTTGTCTTTTCAGACGTGCTGAGCTGGTATCTCTGACAGGAAGACAAGGAACAAACCCTCCTGCATTGCAATTGCACTTCCCTCCCGTGCCCGGGGAGCGGGGACGTCCCAGCGAGCCCAGGTCCTGGGCTCTGCCTCCTTCAGCAGTCCTGGGCACCACGGGCACCTCGCGGTGGGCTCCCACAGCCGAAACATGGAGCTCTTGTAGAAGTCAGGCCCTGCTCGTGGGCTTGGAAATACAAAGTTCCTGCAGCTGAATGACCACAGATGCCCAAAGATAAGATGGGGACAGAGGCAGCGATGCTACCACCTCGGCTGTCAGCTACTGTGCAGCGTGGACTCAACTCCTTACCAGCCATCAGAGAATCCACGTGGGAGAGCCCCTTGCTGGAAATAAGCCCTTCTGCGCTGCTGAGATGCTTCGTGCGTCTGAGAGCGCAACCGTGCTGCCGGCTGAGCAAACAGGTTTTATTTTTCTGCAGCAGCAAACAACTCGGATGCAATTCCTGACGGTGCCGGGGGTGGAAGGGGGTCGGGGCTGGGCCACGGGGCCGCTGCAGATGAGAGGTTGGAGCCTCCCCAGCCTGGCTGCCTCCTCCCACCCTCGCTGGGAAGGACAAGGTGCTGTTGACTCCGATGGCCAAAGCTGAAACGCGGGCGACGCTGCAGTGGCATCCTCTTAGCTCCTTAATTGGCTCGGGTCGGCCGGTGAGAGGTGGCCCCTGCAGGATGTATTCATTTTATAGCAAATTTAACTAATGGCATTTGCATAAATGTGAATTAAAAGAGAGAGAGAGAGAGAGAAGATGAACGTGAGGATTCAGATGGACTCTGGGAAGCTCTTCCTGGGGTTAGCAGGAGGGATGGGGACGAGGCACCGGTGGGTACCCGCACACGGGCAGGCGGCTGGTCCGTGCTCACTGCCTGTGCCCTCTGGGCATGGGTGGAGGAGATTTTGGGGCAAATGTCCAGGATGAGCGATTTGCAACATCTGTGAAGCACCCGTGGGTGCCTCTAGCTCAAGCGCGGTAATGGGGTACTTCGGTGCGGGGGCCGAAGGAGCTGAAGCACCAAATGAAGGTGCCTGTAAGGGCTGGCAGAAGAGCTGGATGGGGGGGAAATACATGTTATGGCCACGGTGTGTGTGGGTCCACACCTCTGAGCAGGGACCTTGGGGCGGAGAGAGCACCCCTGCTGCTGGGCCACCTTTAACCGGGTGAGTGCTGGGTGGCATTCTGCTCCTCTGGTGTTCCCCACCCTCCAGGCAGCCTCCTGGTGGGATCTCTGGTGTGTCTGCGGGAGCGTTGCGACCCCCCCACCCTCCCTTCTCCCCCCAGGTCTCCAGCAGCTGCGACTATGTCTTCGTCAGCGGGAAGGAGTCGCGAGGCTCCATGAGCGCCCGGGTCACCTTCAGCTACGAGCACCTCTCTGCCCCGCTGGAGATGACGGTGTGGGTGCCCAAACTGCCGCTGCACATCGAGCTCTCGGACGCCCGGCTGAGCCAAGTGAAGGGCTGGAGGGTGCCCATCCTGCCGGACAGGAGGTGGGTGCTGCGGAGCCACCGCACCTGGGGCTGGAGAGGGCAAGGGGAAGGTGGGCGTAGCGGTCTAATTGCCTTCTTCAGCTACTTAATGAGGGGCTTTTAGAGGTGGTGGAGCCAGACTCATCTCGGGGGTCCCCAGTGAAAAGGTGAGAGATCATGGACACAGGTTGCATGTTTGTATGGAAGGAGGAAAATTTCACTATGAGGTTGGTCAAATGCTGGAACCGGTGGGGAGCACCCATACTTGGCAATGGTCAAAACTCTCCTGGATGAGGCCAGGAGCAGCCAAGCTCCAAAGGTAGCCCCGCTTTGAGGACTAGAGACCTCCAGATGTCCATCTCAACCCAAGATACCTTGTCCTCTCAGCTGGTTAAGGGGCGGAGATGCCAGTGACCTCCTGCCATGTGCTGCTAAAGCCCTCAGAGACCTCATGGGCAACAGGCATTTTTTGGCTGGGAGCCACCAGGTTTCTCCTGTGCTTGGGGAGACCCTGCCTTTCTCCCTGCCCGGCCACCCCTCTCCTTTCCAGGAGGGGCTGAAGAGCTGCGGCAGGAGGGAGCTTGGCAGCACTGCCCCATCCCGCCCAATCCCTACCCGCTGCCCCATCCCGCAGGTCGGCGCGGGACAGTGAGCACGAGGAAGACGAGGAGGAGCGGAAGCAGAGCCGGGGCTGTGCCCTGCAGTACCAGCATGCCACGCTGCAGGTCTTCACCCAGTTCCACACCACGGCGGCGGAGGGCACGGGGCAGGTGGTCACCATGCTGGGACCCGACTGGCTGGTGGAGGTCACCGACCTGGTCAGCGACTTCATGCGCGTGGATGACCCACGGGTGGCCCACATGGTGGACAGCTTCACGCTGGCCGGGAGGGAGCCGGGCACCACGCTCTTCAAGGTAACCCCCAGCCACCTTTGTCCCCTTCTCTTGGTTTGGCTGCGGGTGGCAGGCAGTGACGGGCACCCTCATCCCCTGCAGGTCGTGTCCCCGCTCATGGAGGCGGTACTGGGCGAGACGCTGGTGACGGTGGCGGAGGAGAAGGTCAGCATCACAGACCTGAAGGCCCAGGTGGTCTCCAGCCTCTCGCTGTCCCTCCACCCCAGTCCCGGCAACAGCCACACCATCATTGCCCGGACATCCGTGCAGCAGACCCTCAGCTTCTTCAAGCAGGTGAGGCCAGGGGAGTGCGCTCAGACCTGGGGGCCCACTGGGGGACTTGGGGTGGGGTGAGGGCTCCATCCGCAACTCCCCCCCTGCCTCCCAATCCTGTCCACAGTCATCCCAGGCCCCCACAGCTACTCACTGTCCTCCAGACACCCTGGTGAACCCCAAGGCACCCCAGAAACCTTCACGCGGACCTATGAACCAACCCTGCCTAGCCTGGGGACAGGACACAACCATGGGGACCAAGGGGTCTGGAAGAAATCCCACACAGTTCCCAGCCCAGCTGTGGTAGCCACACCTGGCACATTTGGGGCTGGGATTTGGGCAAGAATGGGGAAAACTGAGGGAAGAACAGGCAAAATGGAAAAGCTAGGTGATGGTTGGAAGGAACAAGATAGATGATGGAGGTATAAAGGGTGAATTGGATGGAGAGAAGGATGCAGAGGAGGAGGCATGGATGGAGGGATGAATGAATGGGCGCAGGTGGGACTGGCATCGTGCTGGGCAACGGTGCCTGTGTTGGTCCCACAGGAAGCGCTCCTGAGCCTGTGGATTTCCTACAGCGATGGCACCACGGCCCCCCTCTCCCTCTATGACCCCAAGGACTACAACCTGGTGGTGAGCAGCCTGGATGAGAAGGTGGTCTCAGTGACCCAGGACCGGGCATTCCCCTTGGTGGTGGCGGAGAGCGAAGGTTCAGGGGAGCTGCTGCGGGCTGAGCTGGTCATCTGTGAAAGCTGTCAGAAGACCAAGCGCAAGAGTGTGCTCTTCACAGCCTTGGCCAGCGTGCGGGTCCACTTTGGGTCCGAGGAGGATCCGACCTATGACTATGACCATGTGTCCAGCAAGCCAGGGCTGGTGGAGACAGGGGCGAGCACCACTCTGCGGGCAGAGGTGGAGAGGAAAGTGGAGCCGAGCGAGGACGGTAGGATGTCCAGCGCGTCTCACCCCACCGAGGACTTCCCCACTATCCCCACTGGCTTCGTCCAGGTGACCAGGGGGCTGACGGACCTGGAGATAGGCATGTACGCCCTCTTGGGTGTCTTCTGTCTGGCCATCTTGGTCTTCCTCATCAACTGCATTGTCTTTGTGCTGAAATACCGGCACAAACGCATCCCACCTGAAGGCCAGACCAACATGGACCATTCCCACCACTGGGTCTTCCTGGGCAACGGGCAGCCCTTGCGGGCTCACAGTGACCTCTCCCCTCAGCCTGAGAGCCCTGGGAACCCCCTGGAAAATGTCCAGCCCTGCTGCCACGGGGACCACCACAGCAGCGGGAGCTCGCAGACCAGCGTGCAGAGTCAGGTCCATGGTCGTGGGGACGGTTCCTCAGGGGGCTCCACGCGGGACCAGGGTGAGGATCCGCTCAACTCGCCCACCTCCAAACGGAAGCGGGTGAAGTTCACCACCTTTGCCACGCTGCCCTCTGACGAGCTGGCCTACAACTCCATCCCCATTGCTGATGAGGAGGACTTGGAGTGGGTCTGCCAGGACATGGGGCTGCAAGACCCCGAAGAGCTTCACAACTACATCCGCAGAATCAAAGAGATTGCTTAACGCAGGGGCAGAGGGGACGGGGCGGGAGGGAGGGGGCCGCCATGCCGTG